GTATTAATCCTAGAAGTGCGATTTTACTACCATTAGATTCGTCTTGTTGAGTCGATTCCAATGAGCTATATTTCATCCTTTTCTGATTACTGGATCAAAAGTTAGTAAACTGCCTGATTGGTAACGGTATTTGGCGAAAATGCCAATCAGTCACCAATTAGGCACCAATCAGTCACCAATCAGCTACCTGATTGGTGACCGATTGGTGCCTAATTTTTCACTTTTCGACCTGTATCCGTCAATTGCTTTAAAGAGTTAAAAATTAAAATAATTAATTAATAATAAATTATAAAATATAAAAAAATAAATAAATCTTAATTCTTGACTCATCAAGCATTAGATTTTTAGAATCTTCAATAATTTTCTTAACTTTTTCATTAACTCTTGCTATTTCTTGATTTAATAATCTACTACCAAACAATTCACGTGAAGGTGGCATATATCCTGGTCTCATTTCATGAAGAAATTTGATAAAAAATGGGGTTTCAATAATTGAAAATGATATACCACAACATGTAAATACACGTACAAGAGCACGAGTAATAGATGCTTCTTTTTGAGGAGGTATATTAGTTGATTCAAACCAATCAGTTAACTTTCGTTGCTCTGTCTGAATTTTTCTTTTTTTATTATTTTTTGATAAAGGAATTGCAGTAGTATCTTCACTTCCAAAATCTCATGATGAAACTACACCTAAATAAAATGCATATACCAATTCTGGACTTTCTTTACAATTATTAGCTAAATGTTCTTCTAATTGGTATGGGTGGCTACGAGTCCAAATTTTTTACAATAATTACACTTAGCAGAAAAATGGCCAGTAGACTTAAGAGGTTTCTTCTCAAAATGCTTTTACACTTCACTTTAAGGACGACCACTAGATTTTCTTTCTTTTTGTTGAGAGTTCATTTTTGATTTTTATATAATAATGTGAAAATACAAAAAAAAAAAAATTATAACGTAACATTACCAATATATAGTTGAGAAATTAAGGGGAAAATTGTGTTATAATACTTAAATGAATAAAATAATCATGCATTCGTGCTAAAATGATTACTAATTATTATATAACAATTAATATTATATAACAATTAACAAAGCAAATAGACTCAGGGAAGTTTTTATTTTTTTTTTTAAATGTAATATTGTAACTGTTATATAATCGGTTAATCAAATGATCAGATCTACTGATCTAATATCTAAGATCTTCATTATACATTTGTACTATATATCAATTTCGTCATGACGAAATATTTTGAAATTTCGAAATTTAAAATGAAGTGATAAATATATTTCGGTTTCTTCATATGACGAAATATTTTGATTTCGCCAAGTATCACTAATTAGAATGTTTATTTAATTGGTATATGCGTTAAAAAATGTTTTTAATTTGGCATTTTTTAAGATAAAGAAATATTTTAAAAAAAAATTTAAGAAATATAATACATAATTATTATATACTATATTTATTTAATATACAGTAGATAAATCAAGTAGACATCACTATATATATAGTGATGTCTACTTGATCTATCTACTTACACCATAGTGATGCCTACTTATAGATATTGATACATACTTACTTATTTTTACGTGCCTATGCCCCTTCTGATGCTTTATTGCTATCCATCTGTTTTCACTGGTCTGTGACTGTTTGGTCGCTAAGTAGGGCAGAGGTTTGTTTTTCCATTATGAAGCCTTTTAACAATTGTATAGGAGTAAAGTTGGTTTTTCCACTCTTTGACCCTTTTGGTTGCCATATTTGAGGTCGAGAGTGTGGCCCATTTGCTGGCCTTTTAAGTTGCTGAAATGGTGTAAAAAAATCATCAGGTGGCGCAGTAAATTTGCAGTTCAGATTTTGGCCGGCTTTATACCATAATTTCATCCAATCTTTGGAAATTAGCACCATGGTAGGCAGCGTCCTGGTAGCGTCCTGGTAGTATCCTGGAGCTGTCATGGAACTGGCTGGGAACCTGAGTGTTTCTATTAGTTTGCCAGTTTCAGGCCAGCTTGGATGTCGAATTTGTACTGCGCCTTACTGCGCCAGTTACGTGATCCTGTTACGGCACCAAACACCCTTTCATAGTTACGGGCTAATGACGAGAACATTTCCAGAATATTTCTGGCTTGGGTTGTGAGCTCTTCCCCGTTACCTTCCCATTACATTCGAGGTGGTGGTTGGTTGGAAGTTTGAAGATGCCCATTTGATTGCCGGATGAAACACGAAGTGCTGAATTGGTGACCCAGATGTGTAATCCTGCCTTTCATGATCCTTTTGATTGCCAGATGAGGCACGAAGTGCCGAGTTGGTGATCCAGATGCGCAATCCTGCCTTCCATAACCCTTTTATTTGATTGCCGAGAATGAGGCTTGAAGTGCCGAATTAGCTCAGGCTATATAGCTTTCATATCCTTTTTTCATGTATTCTCCTGAACCTTTCTGCCTTCCCGACTTCTTTCCTACCTATCGCCAGTATTATCCCAAGTTGTAATTTCTTATTTTCTTTCTATATATTATTTTAACTTGGGTTACTACCAATTTTATATCTTATTTTTCGCTCCTGCCTTTCTAGAACCCTTTCCCGTATAGTTACTACTCTGGGATACTTTAGGATACTACCACATCGACCACTTTGAAGTACTACCACATTGATCACTTTGGGGTACTACCACATCATTTACTTTCTTTTGGCTTGGCGCTGGGTAATACCACATCGATCATTTTGGGATACTACCACATCGTTTACTTTCTTTTGGCTTGGCGCTGGGTACTACCACATCGATCATTTTGGGATACTACCACATCGTTTACTTTCTTTTGGCTTGGCGCTAGGTATTACACTAACCCAGTATTTTACTAGCAAGCATATTCGCTCAAAATTATATAGAATTTTTATTTTGAACTTTGCTAGTTTCTCTTATAGTTGTTTCTGAAATTCAATTGGCAAATCCGAAATCCGAAATTACGAAATCGTAATTAATTACATATTCCAAAATTCCGAAATTTGCATAATAGTGCGAAATTGCGAATATCTCGGGATCTAGTGATCAGATTTTGATGATCTTACTACCATTCGATTAGTCTCATCGAGACGAATCTAATGATATGTGTTTCATTTCTATAGCACCGATATTGATGGAGTTAATTTACTATAAACATTTAATGAATTTTTGTGTCGGAGCACGATCTAGTGATTAGATTTGAATGAATTTACCACCATTCGATTCGTCATGACGAGACGATTCTAATGGCGGTAAGATCATCTTTCTAGCATTGAAATTGACGGAGCTATTATGCTATAAATATTTAAAAGTTATTGGTATCGGAGCGCGATCTAGTGATTGGATTTAAATGATCTTACTACCATTAGAATCGCCTTATCGAGACGAATCAAATGGTAGTAAGAT